AAGCGGGTGTTATGGCTGAAGATTGAAAGATGATTTGGGGCAAGAGGTGTCTCACCATATGCTCGAGTGGGAGCAGCTTTGGTTCTTGCATGGCATGTACCTAATTGGAAAAGTTGTGATTTTTCAAAATTGGATGAATGTAAGTTTGGCCCTGGAAATGTGAGATTCCTGTGGGTGTGGCTTTACCTGTTGGGAGGTGCTGGATGGGCCCGAGAGAAATGGAAAATATAACTGAACACTGTATACTCTGAAAAATCACGTAATATTCATGGATGGAGCAGTTTTGTTTTCTGGCTCTTTGGTCTCTGGGGCCAAAGGAAAAGTGCTGAGGTTTTGCTTTACCCAGCATCAGATGACTCTACATTTACCTGAAATCTCCATATCTGCCAGATGACGTCAAAACCTAAGCCCACCGGTCCTAATTACTGGAAGAAATGCCCAAGAGAGTTATTGAACTACCCACAGTGGGCCAAACTGAGACCTACTGTGATTCCAACGCCATTGGCTTCAGGGACTGGAGTTGCATGGTTTTGCAGTGGGCTTGAATTTTGGTTCCTTGTACTTAGAGCCAGGGCTGCTGGCAGGGAAATAGAAGCTGTAGTATATAGGAGAACTTTATTCGCCCATTCTGGACAAGTCTGTAAGTGTGATCTTGCCAGTGCATAGGCCACATAGCTGGAGGAATTACCCTTGGGCAGCATAGTTAATTCAGTCTGTGCTTCTGTCTGATTATAGCTCCTTAAAAATAGCCAACTGAAAGGGAGACAGCATGAATTAAATCCTGTAGTTTCATTTTGTAGTGTGTTTTCGGAAGGGGGAGGAAGAAAAGGTGCTCCGAATGTAAACTGCGCATTAGAATCGGTAATAGGTGTAATATAGTGATATAATGAACTATATAATGGCCACTGACATGTAGGTAACAAGAGGGTGCTATATACTTAGCAGAACACTGGCTATGTAAATAGCACAGGGCAACTATGTCTGTGTAATACAAATAAAGGACCAGAACAGTCATTGTAGTAACCGTGTCTTACTGGATTATTAGTTCGATAATTCTGCTGCATCTCTGTCCCCATAGCAGAATTTCTGGAAATGTCTTGAATGTTTAAAATATTAATGAATGAAGTTTCAAAAGGAGGAGAGAGAGACTTTCGATTCTGAGGGAGTCGGGTAAGACACCCAAACAAGCAAAAGCCAAGGAAATTGCTGAGCAAAGCAGAAATGTCAGATAGATTAAAAAACAAGTCAGGAGGAAAACAGTCAAAATCAAGGATAGTACAGGAGAGGTAGCAAGGTAGGGCTCAAGAAACACAACAGCTGCTATTGTACAGCCAAAGAGTAACACTGTTATACACAACCATCCTCTGTTAAACTTTGTTTGGTTTGGCTCTAAGCTCATTGGGTCAGGGCTTGTGTGCTATATGTTTGTACCACACAACAAGTGTTCTCTTGTCTGCTATCACACCACAATGGGATCCAAAGCTTGATTGCAATCTCTAGGCTTCTGCCTTGCTCTGCATACGGAATGTCTCAGATGTGAAGTCTGCCTTCAGGCCACATGGAAATCTCACACCACATTTATGTGCGTGAGGCACAAAATCACAAGCTAAGGAAATCTTCTTTCACCATGGGCAGCATCTTCTATGCTGGGTAAAGAAAGTTCCTGATTTAATAACCAACAAGGAAGTCTCTTTAGGGAAGAGGACTGTGGTGGGCCTTAGGAGTCAGGAGAACTGAGTTCTGTTCCTGCCTCTACTAATACCATGATCCCTGGCAAATCAGGGGTTAATGTCTCCAAGCTCAATTTCCCCTGTGTAAAATAGGACTAATATTACTGAGCCGTCTTTTAAATAAAAAGAATTATGGTCCTGATTCTGCACCATGCAAGTCAATATTGACGTCAATGAGCATAGGAAGAAGCCCTATGTAAATGAAAGAAGTTAATTAATTATTAATTATTATTATTATTATTTACTATTTTATTATTGCTTACAGGGACTACATGACCAGGTATTGTGATAGCTCTGTCTTTTGTACCTGAAGGAAACAGGAACAGCACCAGCTCTGACCTAAAACACACATGTGAGACTAAATATAGAGAGGTACCTGTAAATCCCAATGGGACTACTTCCTGGTAGCAGTTGTTTGCAAGACTGGGCCTTTAAAGGTTAAAAGCCTGCAATTCTGCGTAAGAAATATCAGTTGTAGTTCCTTTCTGATGCTGATTGTGGAGGAATTCCAGGCCAGAAGGGACGTGCATTTTGTGGTAAGTTAGCAGCTGTCCATTCACATGTTAATTTGGTTATGGAATTTTTAAAATCATAGTTGTAACAGTTTGTTGAACTTCTTTCTAGCCTAGTGTTTTAAAGAGATAACGGTGCCCACTTCACTCTGGGTGGCTTTATAAAGGAAATTCTAGGGGTTAGACATGAGGGATGGAATAGCACTGGCAGAGCGGCCTAGGAAGTGCAATAATAGAGGACGTTGCAGAACAGGGTAGCAGTTCATGGCACCTTGCCCCTCCTTTGTCTCCTCTTCCTACTTGCAGTTCTGTCTCTTTCCATATGACCTCTTACATCTGAACAGCCTTTCCCATCCCCTACCCTGAGGGGGGACAGCATGTCTGTGCTGGTGCTGAACCCAAGGAGGGGGAGTGGCTTGCGCCTTCCACTTCCTAGGGCTGCTGGGGGCCAATATGGCCCCTAGTGTGGGCTAGAGCAGCCCAGAGGGCTGACCTAACTTGTGCCCCAGCTGTAATATCCACTGGGCTGTTCGCAATCAGAAAATAGCCGGAGTGTTGGGATGTCCGACTCATGCCTCCTCCATCCCACAGCCCTCTCTTTCCTGCCTGCAACACACCTCCTGCATGGGTGCATGTGGGGATTGGTGCAGAGCTGACTGAATGGTCTTTGTGCCTGCTGGAAAAATCCACTTTGCTGGGGTATTCGCAAGGGAGGGGGGCTTTATGGCTGCCTTGTGCCCTACCGTGGCCTCCTTCAAATTCCTGCTGTAAACTCACTTCCCCCAGCTAGGTCTCATCACCAGTCTGTGCAATGGTGCACTCTACTCCGGCTCTGCACCCTTATTACAACAGCTAAAGAAAACAACCCAGAGCTAGTGAGAGTGATAGGAAACAAGACAACCCTCCACGGTAAGTCAGTGCACCTGGCTAATCCCTTTGTTATCATCAACACCTCAAATCCTAACGTAAAACACAACTACTCTGCAGTATCAGCAAGGCAGATTGAGCAGGGCAATGTAGAACCCAGCTGCTTGCGATTTCACTCCAACTCTCTTCCGCCAATAGTCACAAGAACTAGCGTAATAATGAATAATATGGTAAAGCAGGGCCCTCAGTGTAAAACAGCAGAGTGCATGGAGTAGTCCCCACTGCAGGCAGTCCTACACGGAGAAGTCTTCTTAAATGAAAGGATAATGGGGTGTCTATTTCTATGGGACAAGTAGCACAGACCTGGCAAATACAGATGCTGCTACCCTCACTCCTTCCCCAAACTCTGCTTTCCCTAGTCAGATTTAGCTCTAAGCACCTCACAAGTTGGGTAACAGTGACTCTAAACACGTTTCTGTAATGTGATAATAAACCAACGTGGCCAGCTCCCCTGGGAGTTTAGAAAAAGGCAAAATTGGCATTTAGGTGCCCAATTCCGATCGCTCTTCCATGGGAGTTAGGTGCCCAAAGACAGGGCCGGCTCCAGGCACCAGCGAAGGAAACAGGTCCCTAGGGCGGCCAATAGAAAGGGGCGACACTCTGTCCATCATCGGGGCGGCATGTCCAGGTCTTCGGGGGCAATTCGGCGGCAGGCGCTGCAGTCCCTTTCTTCTTCTTGGGTGGCACTTCAGCGGCAGCTCAACCAGGCTTGGGGTTTTGGTTTTTTTCCCCTTCGCCGCTTGGGGCAGCAAAAAAGCTGGAGCCGGCCCTGCCTAAAGATCAGCTGTGCTTTCGGAATATCTCCCCCTTAGCCCTTAAACTGCTGATCTAGTGTCCAGGCCACACGTCTGCCTGCTTGTAGGACACACGCAGCTCCCTGCAGCTGAAGGGGAGGGTATGTCCTTGGAGCAGTGATACTGGGGAGAGTGTCACGAAGACACACATGCTTCTGTACAAAGGCTTGTCTGCTGGGGGTGGGGATGGGGAGAATGTCAGATATTTCAAAACCCCTAAGGCCAAATTTTCAGCCGATGTAATTCCATGTCGCTCCACTGCCTTCAGTTTACGCCACCAGAGGATCTGGCCCAGAAGACATGTTTGTACCTGGCCTCCTAGGGACATGGCCAGTGCAACATTAAAAAGTAGCAGCTATGGATCATAAAAAAGGAGCCATGTAAAATGCCTAACAGATCAAGTGCCCCTCCTTGCTATTATGGGTTCTATCCCCTTTGTGGAAGGTAGGTTGACATGTATTTAACCGATGTTATACTTGATCCGAACCAAAAGAAGCCAGTACTTTCAGGACGAGTATTCAGATAGTCAGTTCACTGCCCCAGCTGGTCTTTGCCCCCCTGCTTTACAAATGGAAAAGAAAGAGACCTTAGCAGCAGTCCAGGTTGGTTCCCTCCCCTCCCCCTGCCTGGCTGTCTTTTGGGCAGGGAGCACTTAGAACTAGGAACACAGCATGGTGCGGAAAGAAATAAAATAACTGACTTCATCAGCTTTCATTACATTCACGGCTAGTTAACCATGAACTGGTTACCGGTTAACTGCTGCTCACAGAGTCACAGGAGAAGGTCTGATTTCCCTTTTGCTGGAATAAGCAGCAAATACACAGACAGGCTCCCTGCTTCCTTTAACCTGCAAAAACAGGAGTCCTTCAAAGCTCATCCATCCGCTCAGTCATCTCTCTCTTCCCTACACTCTACAGCATTCTAAATCCCTGATAGTGTAAATCCTCACATTTGCTTCCCTCCCTCTCTCCCTCAATCACACACACTCTCTCTCCCCCTCCTCCCTAGTCGGCTGCTATCTGATCTGTGATGATATGTGATCTCTTGGATACACACACACACACACACACACACACGCGCACACACACACACACAAAAACCACCAGGCATTGCTACCCAGCTGAGCAAAATGTCTTTCTCCTAGCAGCGTTGCTCATCATAGCTTTCAAATCCTTGACGATGTGGCCATGCTTTCCCCTCTGCCTTCTACTTTCTCTCTGTTTCTGCCTGCTCTTCTTACCCTTGGGGCATCTTTGCCCTGCTCTCTGTAGCTGTATGGACTCCCACACTATAGACTGCAGGGATCAAGGACTCCCCAGTGTTCCTAATCTGTTTCCACTGGATGTACGGAAACTTCTCATAGCTGACAACAACATTCAGGCTATACCAGCTGATTTCTTTATATTTTATGGAGATCTAGTCTACTTGGACTTCAGGAATAACTCAATCACCTCCTTAGAAGAGGGAACTTTCAGCAGTTCCACCAAACTGGTGTTTTTAGACCTAAGCTACAATAATTTAACGCAGCTTGATGCTGGGATCTTCAAGTCGGCAGAGAAGCTGATAAAATTAAGCCTTGGGAACAATAACCTAGTGGATGTGGACGAGGCTGCTTTTGAGAACCTGGAACAGCTCCAAGTGTTAGAACTGAATGACAATAACTTGCAGAGCCTCAACGTGGCTGCCCTGGAAGCACTTCCATCCCTTCGGACTATACGTCTAGAGGGCAACCCATGGGTCTGTGACTGTGACTTTGCCAACCTCTTCAGCTGGATACAAGAGAATGCATCCAAGCTTCAGAAAGGTAAAGCTAAATGACTTGCAAGGCAGCTAGTGTGTGTGTGTGTGCTTGGTCAGCTTGTCCATCTGGGTGTATTGCCTGCAGTGATCCAACCTGTGAATTCTGGTCCTACCACAATTACACATTTGAACCAGTGAGTCCCTTAAAATGAAGCTGGTTTCCTTTAGTAACAACATCTCCTCCCAGCAAATGGGATATTTTGGTCCTGAGACTAAACCTATCCAGGTTGAGAAGGAGCCTTTTCAAATAGGGTAACCCAGCACTGATTCTCTTCCAGGCTTTGGTTTCTATTAAGTAAATAAATAGATTTCCCTTAATAAGCCCTTTGAATGGCTGAATATGTGTGCCAGCACATGGGGGAACCTTATTTTACCCTGCCTAGATTTTCTATGAAGCAGCATAGGATAATTCAGTCCCTGCATCCCATTTTATACACTGTGGTTGTTGACCCTTTCCTGGAATTAGTTGCTTTTGATTGCCTGCATTGGGATCTCCAGTTACAGCTTGGTTGTTGCTGGTTTTCATACAAATAACATAGCTTTTAATTTTGGAAGCCAATTTATATGAGAGCTCAAGCTACAAAATTTGGAACGGCATCCGGGTTTGGATCTGGACCACTTCAAATGGCAAAGCACTTGGTTCTGGGGTTTTGGCTGGTTATTTTTCAGATGTGTATTGAAATAATATTAAAGCAGCCATGTGCAGGAATCCAGACTCTCCCTGCCCAAAGCTCCTCTTAATCTTACCAGCCTTAGCTGGAGATCAACCACAGTTCATGGTTCCCAACAAGCACCGGGTCATATACTCATGCCACTGAGCCCCCAAGATGCACGTGAAAGACAAACTGCTAGGAGCATAGGCGCTAACAGTGTGACTGAGGGTCCACAAAGTAGCACCCCTAATGAGGTCACTGCTGCCTAGTCTGCTTCTGAGCAGGACTGTGTTTGACTGGGAAGGGGGGCGGGGGCGGGATGATAAAAGGCTGAGGCTTGAAAGCCAGGGAGAATGGGAGGAGGTGGAGAAAGAGGGAGAATCCATTCTGTAAAGAGCATCTCTGTGTATTTCATGGAGTGTCAGAGGCAGAGGGAGGAAAACACAGAGTTAGCCAAGAAAATGATTTCAGAAGCTTTTTCCCTCCTCTTTGTCACCAGAGAGGCTGTCATCATGTATGTGAGCTCTCCCTGTGCTCGTGACCTTGGGTGGCATTTTTGATACATTAATCTTGTGTGCCCTAGCTGCTCAAGGATGTCATGGAATCAGTTCCTATTAGATTTCAGAGTAACAGCCGTGTTAGTCTGTCTTCGCAAAAAGAAAAGGAGTACTTGTGGCACCTTAGAGACTAACCAATTTATTTGAGCATGAGCTTTCGTGAGCTACACTTGAAGTGAGCTGTAGCTCACGAAAGCTCATGCTCAAATAAATTGGTTAGTCTCTAAGGTGCCACAAGTACTCCTTTTCATTTTGTTCCTATTAGAGATGAATGAAGTGATTTGGGGAGACAAAGGGTTGATCTCCCCACCCCTGCCAGGCGTGAGCTGAGTCTTGACCTACGTCCCCCATGATGCCTGGGCCACCTTTAGTCTGTCTCTGAGCTGAGTGTTGGCCCACCTCTCCGGCAGTATCTGAGCCAAACCCTGACCCATCTCTTCCCCGGATCCAAGCCAAACCTTCATCCATCTGCCCCTCTGTGTCCCAACAGAACCTTCACCCATTTCCCCCAACTCCTTGTCTGAATGACATTTACATTTTCTTTTGCTTTAACCTTTAACTGAGCATACGCTGTGATCAGTTTCCCCCCTAGCTCCTTATCTGAGCCAGCATTATCCCTCATTTCCATCATCCCCCCAACCCAACCCGATCTGTTCCACCTTAAAAATATTCAAATAATATGACCCTCCCTTCCCCAATCTGCCTCCCTTCCCAGCATATCTTCCACCACTCCACTTTCACCTTCCCATTGCTCTTATGCCTGTTCCTAAGTTTACCTGTGTTTCTTTGGCCTAGAAATCCCAGAGATCAAGTTTTCTTACAGGATTCCCCATGCTTCCTGGGGTCAGTGAGGCTAGAAACACTTTGTCACCATGTTTTGTTTCAGCCATTTTCAACCCTAGATAAACCCAAGAATATTTATATATTTATTCTGAGCTCCAGAAGGAGGTGAGAGGAAAACCACTTGGAAGTCTCTGGGTAAAGATAAAAGAGGTAAATAACAGGGGTAACATCATGATAGGGGTCTACTCTAGACTGCCAAATCAGGAAGAGGAGGTGGATGAGGCATTTCTAGAACAAATAACAGAGATATCCAAAACACAAGACTTGGAAGTAATGTGGGACTTTAGCTATCCAGTCATCTGTTGGAAAAGTAATACAGTAAAATACAATTTCCAGTAAGATGTTGGAATGTGTTGGGGACAGTTTTTTTGTTTCAGAAAGTGGAGGAAGTAACCAAGGGGCAGCCATTTTAGACTTGATTCTGACCAGCAGGGAGGACTTGGTAGCGAATCTGAAGGTGGAAGGAATTTTGGGTGACAGTGATCATGAAATGATAGATTTCATTATTCTAAGGAAAGGAAGGAGTAAAATCATCAGAATAAGGATAATGGACGTCGGAAAAGAAGACTTTAACAAACTAAGAGAACTGCGAGGTAAGATTCCCCTGGGAAGAAAATCTAAGGGAAAATAGACTTCAGGAGACCTGGCAGTCTCTCAAGGAGTTGATATTAAAGGCAAAACTGCCAACTATTCCAATGTGAAGGAAAGATAGGAAGAATAGTAAAAGAATATGGCTCCATCTTTAATGGCCTATAAATCAAGAAGGAATTCTACAAAAAGTGGAAACATGGACAAATTGCTAGGGAGGAGTACAAAAGAACAGCACAAGCGTGTAGGGACAAAATTAGAAAGGCTAAGGCACAAAGTGAGACATAAGGGACATAAAAGACACTAAGAAGAGGTTCTGTAAATACATTAGGAGCAAGAGAAAGACAAAGGAAAGTATAGGTCCTCTACTTAATGGGGAAGAAAAGCTAATGACATCAAGAGGGCTGAGGTATTTAATGCCTATTTTGCTTCAATTTTCACTAAAATGGTAAATTGTGACCAGATTCTTAACATAATCAATATTAACAACAAGGGGGAAGGAACAAAGCCAAAATAGGGAAAGAACAGATTAAAGAATAAGGGCTTGGCTACACTTGCAAGTTAGAGAGCATTAAAGCAGCCCCGGGCGCCCTAACTCCCGACCCGTTCACACTGGCAAGGCACTTATAGCTCCTGGACTCTGCAGCTGGAGCGCTCCTGGTAATCCACCTCCACGAGAAGCATAACGCTTGCTGTGCCCCGGCTGAAATGCCCGGGTGTCAGTGTGAACGAGGTGTTGCATTACTGCCCTGTGATCGGCCTCTGGAAACGTCCCATAATTCCCTTAAGTCAAGTGGCCGTGCTTGTCATTGTTTTGAACTTGGCTGTAGCAATGCGGATAGGCCCTTTCAAAGCTCCGTTTCTGACAGCCGGCTGCTTATCTGCTCCGGGACAAAGCAACCATCCCTGTGGACTGCTGCTTGCTGTGAGTGCGTAAAAGAGAGGGAGGGGGGGGACAGCTGCTGTCTGAACTTACAAGACAGCATATTGACACACTCTCAGTCCCCCCAAAACCAACTCTCTCTCCCCACACACAGCACACTCCCTGTCACACTCCCCCCTTCCCCCCCCGACATTTGAAAAGCACGCTGCAGCCACTTGAATGCTACCACAATGCACTGCTCTCTGTGGTGTTGCAAGAGCTGCTAACGTGGCCACGCCAGTGGGCTTGAATCTGACAGTGCGAACACACTGCAGCGCTTTCCCTGCTGCGCTCTCTGAGGGCTGGTTTAGCTCACAGCTCTCTACATCGGCAAGTGTGGCCATGCCCTAAGTTAGATGTATTCGAGTCAGCAAAGACTGATGAAATTCATCGTAGGGTTCTTCAGGAACTAGCTGAAGCAAGCTTGAAACCATTAGCAACTATCTTTGAGAACTCAGGGACTATGGGTGAGGTCCCAGAGGACTGGAAAAGGGACAAACATAGTATCTATCTTTAAAAAAGGAGAACAAGGAGACCCGGGGAATTATAGACCAGCCAGTTTAATGTCAATATGTGGAAGATACTGGAACGAATGATTAAACAATCAATTTGTAAGATCCTAGAGAATAATAGGGTTGTAAGAGAATAGCCAGCATGGATTTGTTAAGAACAAATCATGCCAAATCAAGCTAATTTCCTTCTTCAATAGGGTTACTGACCTAGTGGATAAGGGAGAAGCTGGAGATGTGATATATCTTGATTTTGGTAAGGTTTTGGACCACAAATAGAATACGAGTTAACAATGTTATGCAAATGCGAAAAAGGCTAATACCATTCTGGGGTGTATTAACATGAGTGCTGTATGTAAGATCCAGGAAGTAATTGTCTCACTCTTCTTGGCACTGGTGAGGCCTCAGCTGGAGTACTGTGTCCAATTCTGGGCACCACACTTTAGGAAATGAGGACAAATCACTCTTCTCTGGACTCTCTTCAACAAAAATGATAAAAGGTTTAGAAAATCTGTCCTATGAGGAAAGGCACATTTAGTCTTGAGAAAAGACAACTGAGGGGGACCTGATAACAGTCTTCAAATATGTTAAGGGCTGTTATAAAGAGGACAGTAGAATCATAGAATCATAGAATCATAGAATATAAGGGTTGGAAGGGACCCCAGAAGGTCATCTAGTCCAACCCCCTGCTCGAAGCAGGACCAATTCCCAGTTAAATCATCCCAGCCAGGGCTTTGTCAAGCCTGACCTTAAAAACCTCTAAGGAAGGAGATTCTACCACCTCCCTAGGTAACGCATTCCAGTGTTTCACCACCCTCTTAGTGAAAAAGTTTTTCCTAATATCCAATCTAAACCTCCCCCACTGCAGTTTGAGACCATTACTCCTCATTCTGTCATCTGATACCATTGAGAACAGTCTAGAGCCATCCTCT